GCAGCATAGAGCGGGATAATACGCAGAGCGTGACACCACGTGAAAGTGAATCCTGAGCGGTGAACTAATTTTCGGCAGCCAGAATTTCAGTGCATCTCTAATTATTGGCGACATCAGAAATGGATATTATATAATAGCTGCTTATTTGAACATTAAATTAAACAATTAAAAAATATAAAAAAAATATTTTTTACATGGCACCCCGGTTGGGAAACACTGCACTCTAAAAAATGCTGGGTTAAAAAGGGACAAACCCAGCTATTGGGTTGTTTTGACCCGGCGGTTGAGTTGTTTTGAACCCAAACGCTGGGTCAAAACAACCCAATAGCTGGGTTTGTCCCTTTCTAAACCAGTGTTTCCCAACCGGGGTGCCATCTGTCGAGAGCAGGGGTGCCGTGTAAAAAAATCATTTTTTAATATTTTTAAATTGCTAAAATGTTCAAAAAAGCATCTATTATATAATATCCATTTCTGATGTCGCCAATAATTAGAGATGCACTGAAATTTCGGCTGCCGAAAATTAGTTCACTGCTCAGGATTCACTTTCACGTGGTGTGACGCTCTGCGTATTATCCCGCTCTTTGCGTGTGCGCTCCGCTCAGTCGCTCCACTCGTATACCATTCATGCGAATCGGAACAGCAAAGTCCACTCAAAAATTGAGCAGAAAACATCGATGAAGTACAGTATTGTTTCTGTCTGCAATAGCCCTACTGTGTTGTAACATGGTGTGGTATATGGGCAACTCTGGTAACACTGCCCTCTCATTCATTGATCTGCTAACCGCTATGTTATGCTCGCGTGTTCTGATAATAATAGCTTTCTAGGACTAAACATTATTTGGATAATTGGTAAAAAATAAATAAAAAAAAGTTAAATATCTTAACCCTACTGTTAGATCTACCTGAAAAACTAAAAAGCAATTTATTTAATTCGAAGGCCTGTAGTTATTTTTTATTTGTGCTATCATTATTAATTTCTTTTTTTGTTCTTATTTTATTACTGACTGCTTACTTGTAATTTTTTATTCAATTCAAAGTTTGAAATCAAGCTATCTCGTGCTACTGCACCAAAATTACCCCACTGTAAAATAAAAAAAACACTGAGTGAGCAAAAATTTGTGAGATAGCTAGTTATAATGGTAGTTAAATAATGTTTACATATGTATAAAAGCCTACATTAAAATCCATCCTATAAATTGGTCTCTTCATTAGAAATTAGCCTACTGATTGCCACCATTGATGGACAAATTTTTTAAATAATATTAAAAATATCTGTATGACATATTCTGCAGTTCTTCCCTGTTGTACCGAATATCTATACTTTTCAAATTATCATATCGAAGATAGAAATTAAAATATTGTGACAAAATTAATTTTGTAAGGTGCCACAAGTTTGTTAAAATTTCCAAAGGGTGCCACGACAAAAAAAGGTTGGGAAACACTGGTCTAAACCAATGAGCATTAAGCTGATATAAAGTATTAGTTCTGTTGCTTTTATATGAAAATAAATATGAACAAGATATTGTTTAATATCTATTTAATTCCATACGAAAGGTGTATTTATCATCCATTTTTACTTTAATACAAACATGTATTTTAGATTTTTATATAAATATGACAACAATCACATATCTCACACAGAAATGGCACTGTCATAGTGTTTGGGAACATTCATACATCATTTAAATACATAATCACATGAAATCAGATAAAAAATAAAATATTTTAGAAGAGAACGCAACATCACGGTTGTCTGAACAAAGGAGCATTAAGCTGTGTCGTCAGTCAGTCGTTTCCCATCATGCTTTTGATCAGCGCAGTCGGTGGAGAGCAACTGCGCTCGACTGCGCAATCCGACACAGCCAACCGCCCCGCTGTCGCGAGAGTTTTTCAAGTGGTGCTCGCTGCAGAGCCAAATCGCTGGATCTAGTGGGCGGGGCTTGGAGCGCTATCAAGCGCCACCATGTGGCTGTTAATGTTATTGCCAGTTCAACCGTGACGTATATGGAAGTAAATGCTTGTTTTGATGCCCAAGATGCTGGCATAGATAATATTGGCTTATTTTACTCTAATATTTGTCATGATTATGATTGATTTTTTCATCATGGTCAGTATCGTTTCTGTGACAAACGGCATTACGTAAATACTTTTTTAAAATAATGCTTTATTGTCAACAAATAGCATGTACAATTCCATATCCCACTGTATTACGTAAATACTTGATAAGAACATTGCTCACACTATGTGTTTCTAACACCTTTTTAAACTTTGTATCTATGTACATTTGTCATGTTATTTTCTCCTTATTAGAATAGTTTCCTCACTTTTGAAGTTGCTTTGGATAAAAGCGTATGCTATATGATTATGTAAATTACTAGACTTAGCAGGCAATGTGAAAGCTTACTATCTGTGCACCCCTCTTTAATTTTTGGCCACCGCATTAACGTGTGGGTTATTTATGAACTAAACTAAGTCATCTGATTAATTGTAATAAATAATAAAATTAGACTAATTTATGTAATCTGCCCATTTTTGTATGTATATCTGAATGCATGAACTCACAGGCTGGTTGTAATTTTTTTTATTATATTGTAAATTTAAATGGAATATTGACTGTAATTTTAGATAGACTCAACCTTCATGCTGAGATTAGTGAGGCATCCTCTCCAACATTTGGGATAAGATAGATGCAATTTAATAGTCACATACTCCACTGTCCTACAAGTGATGCACTGGATTTATTTGTTTCTATTAAACCAAATTAGCAAAATGTGCATTTAAACATAAAATAAATCTTAAATCTAGATAAAATGTCATAATAAGTCATAAAATAATATCATAAATATATTTCAAGAACAACACTTCTTTCACACAAAATTTTTATGGTATAGCAAGATATAAAATATTAAATATCATAAATATATTTCAAGAACACAACACTTCTTTTCACA